GTAAATAAAAATAAAGTGTCTCTCCCTCAAAAAGCACCAGAGAAGTAATTCCTTATGCATTGAGACTCCCTGAGAAGGAAATGTCTGAAAACAGAGAGGAGAGGTCAATCCAAGATGAAATACAGATCTTCCCAACCTAGATCTTCTGGGATAGCCTGGATTGAAATTATTCTATTTCAAGAGGTAGCATGGGATGGGGGGTTAACAGCTGAGACTGGGTTCAAAAACTGGCTCGTGACTCACTACTTGTGTGATAGCAAACTGCTCTGAGCCTGCTTCCCATTTTGTAAGATGGGAATCTGTTTTTTTTTTTTTTGAGATGGAGTCTTGCTCTGTCACTCTGGCTGGAGTGCAGTGGCACAATCTTGGCTTACTGCAACCTCTGCCTCCCAGGTTCAAGCAATTCTTCTGCCTCAGCCTCAGCCTCATGAGTAGCTGAGGCTACAGGCATGTGCCACTGTGCCCGCTAACTTTTGTATTTTTAGCAGAAACGGGGTTTCACTATGTTGGCCAGGCTGGTCTCGAACTCCTTACCTCAACTGATCTGCCCACCCAGCCTCCCAAAGTGCTAGGATTACAGGCATGAGCCACCACACCTAGCTAATATAAGACAGGAATCTAATGGTACCTACCTCATAAGGATATTGTGAGGGGTAAATGTGATATCATACACTAAATACTTATCACAGTGCCAGGGACACAGCAAAGCTCTCAAAAATGTTAACTGCTCCAGAAATATATTGGATTTTTTTAGATTACATATCCCAGTTTGTAAATCCACATGTCCCACAGTTTGCAAAAATTGTCATTGGAGGAGATCATTCCTAGAAGGGCAGAAATTCTCATTTGAGGGAGATACATTGTAGAGTTGTTGGTTTCTACTGGCTCTCTGAGCCTGTGGTTGAAACTCCTTGTTTAAACTGCCTGTGATGGGAGGGTGGAAAGCCTGGAGCTCCCCTTTCCTGCCTGGAGCTCGCCTTTCCTATTTGCTAGGCTTGTGGATGTCATAACCTGGCCTCTCCACTTGTTTAGAAGGAGACTACAATCAACTCAACAGAGAAGCGGTCTCTTGTCCTCATCCATGCCTGCACATGGTGGCAGACCAGCTCCAAGGCTGGGGCCCTGGGAACATAGGAAGGGAACACTTAGAGCACTCCCCCTCCCCGCTTCCCCCTAGGCATGACAGGAAGTGGTGCTTCGAGCTGGGAGAGATCCCTGGAGGCACTTACAACCTTGCAGCTTCTTTATTTCACGTGCTAATCAGGTGTCATCTCCTGATACCCTTCTCTGTACCTGATTTGCTCTATACCCAGACAGAGGGAGGGTCCTCTCCCCCAAAAAGGCGCTACCTGGAGCCAGGAGCTTCCCAGGTCCAGAAAACCACCGGTGATAAATTATGCAGCTGCACCTCTGTGTCACTGCCTCTCAGCCAGATGGGAGGTTTGCTCCCAGTCTTTTGTTTCCGGCTCTGCTTGCAGCTCTGATCCTCAGCTCTGCACAGAGGTGAGGGGGAGCTCCCATAGGCCAAGTCAGGGCTTGCAGCAAGTCCCAGCCAGGCTTCCCCCCACTTGGGTCCCAGGCAGCGCCCCTCCCCTCCTCATTCGAACCTGAATGATAGGGGAGTCCCATTCCGCATGGGGAAACGAGGCGTCAGGGAGAGCTAACAGTCATTCCGCTCATCTGAGAGCAAGGATGGGAATGCCTGTGAGCAGTGAAAGAATGAAGTCGGTCTGCTTGGATGGGCGGAAGAGGCGCCCAAGGGCACCTAGGATGTTTGTGTCTTGCTAAATCAAAAACGCACAACAGAAAATGGAGTCAAGCAACCGCCAGGAAGCTAGAGAACTGGCTCTTTTAACGGCTGCTCTTGGTTATCGTCAACTTTCCGAGACTCCCAAAAACATCACATCGCTGGCACCAACTTAAAAAGAAGAAACAAAAGAGACAACAAGGGTCAAACTTTGAGGTGGAGGAGCTGGGGGTTGGGGGCCATTCGGGGCTGGAGACCCGCATCAATTAGGCCTGCACACTGACAGGCTTCCTGATTGAAGATGATCACTGGGAAGGGTCCACAAACAGCTCAGCTCCCAGATTGGGGCAATTACTACGTTATGAGCTCTGGAGCCGGACTCCTTTCTCAGGCCAATGGGAGGGAGGGCTTGGAATTCTAAACTGTTCCAGCTACAAGAGTCCCCGGCCAGGCCCTCTCACCCCATGTCACAGGAATCTTAGGGTGAGAGGTTGCTAGGCTGCATCCCTGACCACGTAAGAAGGGCAGCTCTTGGCCAGGCGCCGTGGCTCATGCCTGTAATCCTAACACTTTGGGAGGCTGACACAGGCGGATCACGAGATCAGGAGTTGGGAGACCAGCCTGACCAACATGGTGAAACCCTGTCTCTACTAAAAATACAAAAGTTAGCCAGGGGTGGTGGTGGTGGTGGCACATGCCTGTAATCCCAGCTACGCAGGAGGCTGAGGCAGGAGAATCGCTTGAACCCAGGAGGTGCAGATTGCAGTGAGCCAGGATTGTGCCACTGCACTCCAGCCTCGGCAACAGAGCAAGACTCTGTCTCTAGGAAAAAAAAATATATATATATATGGGAAGCTCTCAGAGGAAAAGCTCCATTTCCCCAGACCTTTCTCAAGAGAACAAAGCAAAGTGAGTTCCCCTAGACTGATGTTACAGCTTAGGAGACCTCTTTTCTAGGAGCGGGCACAGGACAGAACTATGCTTCAACTCCATCACCTTTTCAAGGGGAGAAAGAAGAGCAGATCTTTAAAAGAGACAAAAGATCAGCTGAAATGAATGAAGGACCAAGTCTCAATTTTAGCATGGAACACAGTAGCACAATTATTTACCTGGCTCCCCTATTCTAAAGGCAAGAATCATCTCTGATCCACTTATACAACTTTGCTTACGGCTAACATGTATCCAGCACTATAGCAACACAGTAGTTGCCAAGCTCTGTGCTGTATAGTTTGAACATTCTACCTCATGTAACTTTTATGATATTCCTATGTGATAATTTATTACTACTTCCCTTCCCCTATCCTACCCATCTTTTCAGGTAACAACTGTGAAGTTCAGGGAGATTTTGCAAAGGGTCACCAAGAATTGCCAGAGCCAAGATTCAAACCCAGGTCTGGCCGGGCGCAGTGGCTCAAGCCTGTAACCCCAGCACTTTGGGAGGCCGAGGCGGGTGGATCACGAGGTCAAGAGATCGAGACCATCCTGGTCAACATGGTGAAACCCCATCTCTACTAAAAATATAAGACATTAGCTGAGCATGGTGGCGCGTGCCTGTAATCCCAGCTACTCAGGAGGCTGAGGCAGGAGAATTGCCTGAACCCAGGAGGCAGAGGTTGCGGTGAGCCGAGATCGCGCCATTGCACTCCAGCCTGGGTAACAAGAGTGAAACTCCGTCTCAAAAAAACAAAACAAAACAAAAAAAAACCCAGGTCTGTGAGTGCTTCTCATCCACCGAGCTATGTATACAGTGATGATGTTAGTGCTTGTGTTCGCTGAAAGAATGAACAAATGAATGAGTGCGGAGCCTAGTTTGAGGAATGCTCCTGATTGCACGAGGAAGAAACCATCTCTGCTAGCTGTAAGCTGGAGTGAGTGTGGCAAGCCCATGCAGTCATCAGAACTATTTATAAGGCCACAGTCAGGCTCTGCCAGCTAACCAGTCAGCACTGAGTCTTCCCTGGGACACTGAATCCTCACAGGCTGAGGAGGGGAGGAGGGCTTCCGCTGCTGAAGATGAGATGGCAGTCCAGACACAGTCTGGGGCCCAGATGCCCCATGCCCAGGCAACTGTGACAAAACTCGTGGCTAAGCTGCATCAAGGAATGTAGAGGCTGTGGCTGGAACAGGCTAACGGTCCAGTCAACCAAAGGCACAGACTGCCTCGTAATTTTGCCCAATCATAAAAAAGACAAGACTACTTCTTAAAGTAGTCCCTGAAATTCTGTTCCTATTTAGGAACCCCCTAATTTTGATATTTATTTATTTATTTATTTATTGAGTTGGAGTTTTGCTCTTGTTGCCCAGGCTGGAGTGCAATGGTGCGATCTCGGCTCATGGCAAACTCCGCCTCCTGGGTTCAAGTGATTTTCCTGCCTCAGCCTCCCAAGTAGCTGGGATTATAAGAA